AGATTTATGCTCACGCTAAATTTATTTAGATTCACTCTAACACTACTCTACAGAGTATTTCCTAAGTAATGTCGAAAACTTCAAGAGGTGATTCCTGAGATGATTTAAAAAAAAAAGTACCCATGAACGTGGGTGCGAACATAATTCCCTGGAAAGAGTTATGGATCTTCAAAGTTAAAAACAAACGTTTTTTTGGCATATTTTAAAATTGCCTTGATTTACATCGGTTATATTTCGCATATAATCAGTAATCGCTGGAAACTATAACTATTCAATTTAGGCACAATAGCTTTATTCTAAAAGTGGATTTACAGGGAACCCCAAAAGGTTTTTCTAATAAAACTTTTTTCATATGGATACCTGATAAACTTCTCGCTGTTAGGAAATATAGAATTCCAATAAAAAATGTATGACTTCCGACCAAAAAACTTGAGTAGTAATTATACAGAACTAGAATAAGTATATTAAATAATTGTAATCAATGCAATGGCTGAAATTACGTTCGAAGAGTAAACTGATATGCACTATTGTTATGGCATTGCTGACGCTAACGCGTTGGAGGCAAGACATATATATCAAAAAAGATTTCCAACCAGAAGATTACCTTGTGTTAAAACATTTACGTGAACTCACAATGATCTCAGGTAGTCTAGTTTATTGAAACGAAATGTGGATGTACCTGGTAGGCCCCTCACGATAAGAATACTAGAGCTAGAAGAGAAAATACTCCATCAAGTTGAAGACAATCTGCCAACAAGTTCAAAGTAAATTGCAGCAGAACTAAATATGAGTAAAAACACTCTGTGGAGAGTTTTGAAATACTGCCATCATATCAGCGGGTTAGCAGACAACTTTCCTCGTCGTTTACAATTTTTCCAGTGGTTATTACAAAAAGTAGCAAGAAACGGGGAATTTTTGGCTAATATAGTTTTTAATAATGAAACTAGATTTTCAAGCGATGTTATCATGAATTTTCATAATAACCATTTGTGGGCTGAAGAGATTCCGCATACTCTTATGGGGAACAGATTTTAGCACCAATTTTCTTTCAATAATTGGGTTGGGATTGTTTGAGATTTTCTCCTTGACAGGTGATAGTTTTCGTCATTTGTAAATGCATTATAGGATGAAGTTCTCTATCGAGTAAGACAAAATATATGGTACATGCATAATGGTGCCCCAGCATATTTTAGCATTGCCGTGCGGACTATTAAATACGAATAATTCCCGCCGTTGGACAGGTAGCGTGGTACAACACACCGCGAAAATCAACAATAAAGAGACATATCAGGAAAAGATTTGACACCAAGCTGTCCTGAAATGAATCTCCTAAATTTCTTTTTCTGGGGTTACATAAAATTTCTAGTACACTGAAGACCCACTGTGGACCAAAACAATCTTTGCAACAGAACTGTTGATTCCTTTATTACTATTCGGAATATGCCCGGAATTCTTCAAAAGAGTGCGACAATCAATAGTCAGAAGAATTCAAGTGTGTGTAGTAGTGTAAAGTGATCTGGAATATTTAATTTAGTTGTTATTTCTTGTCAGCATTATTATTCAATTAAAAATTACGAAAGATAATCACAGAATTTCATTATTTTTTTTTAATTTTGAAGGGCCGTAACTCTGCAGGGAAGCATTTGCGGACCCATGTTTATAGGACCTTTTTTTTTAAATCACCCAAGGAATCACCTACTGAAGTTTGCGACATTACATTGGAAACACCCTGTATAGTGTTTCATGAACAAAATCTTTGACTATATAAAATAATCTTCCAAACTTTATATATTTGAAAATATTCTGTATATAAACAAAACTTTGGAAAGCGTGTTTATAGTTTATATTTAATTGTTTTAAGAATTTGTTGATTAAATAATAGCATATGTATAATACTTTATGAACTTATGAGATCATTGTGCAATAAAAAAAATCTGCAGTATGTTTTAAGTCTATTATTAGACTATTATTTTCGTTAACATTGTCGTCATCTTTAACATTGGCCAGTGGCCTGTCTACTGTGTGCTATTTTAATTAGGTCATTTTTTGCATAACTTGTACTTAGACACCGAGGAATAAAACAAGGATTTTTTATAAACAGAGCAGTCTTAAAAATGTTTGAGCTCTCTTTCGGTTAACTGAAAAAAATATTTGTAACTGAAGTTATAATTTCTGCGAAACAGGGTAAAAAAAAATAAAATTTAAATACCGTCGGCATTTCTACAAAGCAAAGGAAATGCTGTGTTAAAAGTAGTAGAGAGACATTAATAATTAAAAGCATTAAATTGTAATTATTGATTTTATAGTCAAATTAATTTCTGTAGTATCGCTGCAATAAATTTTGTTTCGCATAAACGTTCAGCATATGCGTTTTGTTTAACTTTTAATTAGAGCAGATGAAGAATTGAAAGACTGTTAAACCTGGATTAACATTCCATTCCTTAGATTTAACTCCCGCTTAATTGTTTTACCTAAAGATAATTTCATAATAACAGATTGTTTTTACAGGATGGAGAAACAATAAGAATATAATTAAATAATAATTCAAAACAAACAGCACTCAGCAGCGTCTCGTCAGCACCGGAGTTATTATTATTTTTAGTCGCTACTTTCAATTTTTGTTGAACAGATGAAAAAATTGACAGACTGTAATCTTGGATTAACATTTCATTTTACTCCAATTTGATTGCTTTATATAGAAAATAGTATGAATTTTCGGTTTGTTTTTGCAGGATGCAGAAAGAGTCATCTGAATTTTATTAAAAAATAAAAAACCATTTGCTATTATCGATTGGGTCAATTCATCAAGGAGCGGGAACTAATTACACAAATTGCGAGAGTTTTTCATTACACCAATTAGTACATCTAAATATAAGCTTACCCTTTTCACACAGAGATCAAATAGAGATAGGAATACGCCATCAGATGAAACCGGTGTTATTAGAAACTTGGCTCTATATTAAACTAACTAAAACTTATATTTTGACACAATATTCTTAAATATATCTTAGAAAAATTATCCTTTTTAACTTTTAATCGGAACAGAATGAGAACTGAAAGGCCATAATCCTGGATCAGTATTACATTTTTCAAATTTACTTTGATATTTTAATTTTAAAGGCATATAAGATAAAATCATGTTTTTTACGGGATAAAGAAATAATTAATTTGTTAAATAAAGGATTAATGAAATTTTACCAGGTATATTATAATGCACATAATTAAAAAATTTGCTTAGTAACTCCATACGTGCATAGATGAAGCTTCATGAATTTTTGTTTCCTATATTTTCTTGAAACTTGATCTATGCACGAATGAAGTTGCTTTTATGCAAATCTTCCGAAACTCAACCTTATTGGATGTTATATCTGTCTAATGTCTGTATTTTGTTTTTTAATATCTGACGTTCAATTTTTAGTAAAATATCAAGCGTGCTCATATCACTTCAACTGTTACTTTCGACTTCTCAATTAGTGTCCTCCATTGAAGATGATTATCTTTCCTTTTTTTTACTCAAAAGTAATTTTAGGACAAGACAGCTTGCACCAGCGAATGACAAATCTTCATCAATTGATGCACTTGCCATTTTTAATTGTACAAAATAATGTGTACATATCTGACCAATAGCCAACGATGATTCGATAATGACAGATTGTAACCAAATCATAACGAATCATTAAGAAAATAAAAACAAAACGGCATGTTCACCTGTCCACTCCTCAATAAGCTAAATTAAACTATATAGTCCTGTATGCTATTATCCTCTATGAAGAACAAAAATCCGCGAATAACAGCTACACTATTTGTGAAATGCGCATGTACATTATTTGTGAAATACGCATGTACACTATTTGTGAAATGCGCATTTAGACTGATCACTTTGAATGAAACAATCAAAGTGAAAATCAAGTGAATCATTTAAACAATCACTCGTCATAGTTAATCACCCTAAGATGAAGGATGAACAAAGTAGGATCAAGCTCTCCTTTTGGTCACTCTGGGTGAATCAACGTAGATGAATCATAAAAGTGAACCGTCTAAACATGTGAGACAATATGTGTCTGCAACTCTCGCATCAGCCTATAATAATGCTAATGACCTTCTAAACAATAGCTAATGTATTCTTCAAGCAAACCGAAAAATGTATGTGTATTATCAAATGTATATATACGGATGTTGGGCTGTGCATACCACATTCTATACCCAACAAAAAACGCTGATAGTCAGTATGTTCATAATAAATGCAAGCATATTTCTGCAAAATTTGTAAAAGTTTAACCTATCAATATTTCCTTTAGTTATTGTAAATTCTCTGTAGTGTAATTTTCATGTTTTGATAAAGGATCCTAAATCTTCAACGTCTTGTATATATGTACGAGCTATGTGACATGTTTCATATACAGGAGAGCATTTAAGCTTTTATTGCATTATTATTATCTGGTCTTTACTTTTTTCAAAATTCTTGTTTTTTGAAAATTTTTGGGGTCTTATGACAATACCAATCAGATTTCCTTTCAAAAATACTTGTATCCACTTTTTCTCCATGCAAACTGTTGTCGGCGAGGAATACTGACACTATATAGTTGAAAACCTCGTTGAAATATTTTTAAATTGCCCTATTCCAGAAAAAATAAGCCAGAATACCTTTTTCTGAAATAGTTTTTATCTTCTTCAGTTGACAATATTCTTCAAAGCGCTTATAAGCCAATTCATATAATATTCTAAATTTTTCAGCTAACAAGCTAGAAATTGCTACATCTAAAGCATCTTTAATATCTAATGAAATGGAATGGATGGAATATTATCTGATTCACTCATTTGGTTTTTTCGTAAAAAAAAACCTATTTGCAAGACTAAATTTTAAAACACCACAGGTAATACAACCCCCCGTATCCCTGAAGGTACCTAAAGGTACCTTGTGTAGGAGAGGGCTACAATGGACACACACACCCAATGTCAGGATACCTATGCTAGGATTAATTTCTGGTTTAGAAAAAATCCTAGCTCCTCGACCGGGAATCGAACCCGGGATTCCAGGGTGTCCTTACCACTCGACCACGAAGTAACACAAAACTACGAGGCCACACAAATAATAATAATAAATAAGCAGAAACATTACACAAATCAACGTACACAATGGCGTTCGCATAACTTTATTTGAAAACAAGAATCAGCTTATTTTTTGTTCATTTCCCTAGTGGTAACAGGAATTGCTAGATTAACATCTTTTTCACAGGTATTCTGTATGTGACATGTTTTGACAAAAACATTGATAAAATAAGTCTATGCAAAGTTTATTTCATATTTTTATTTGCAACGTAAAAAACATCGGCTTATTTGACGGCGATAAGGAGAACAAAGAAGCCGACGTTCTTTAAGTTGAAAATAAGTTTGAAATAAACTACATATATGCAAGTATTCACAACCCCTATGTCACTTACTAGGTACTCAGTCAGGAATAAATTATGTTAAGAAACACTACATATTAGAATAATAATGGTAACTTACTCCAGGCAAAACACTGTAGCTGCTATAAACAATAACTAAAATTTCCTAGTGTTGTTTACATTTTTTAATTAATTACATAAAAACTGTCTCTGATTTTTTTCAGCCACCATGTATTTACAATTAACAGGTTGTTTTTGTAGCGACTCGCATCTTCCAGAGGACAATTGTTATGTTAATCGGTAAACCGGTTTGAAATTTTGAAAAGGTTATTCACTTTATAAAATAGCGATACGATGGGAAATAATCGAAGGCTTCTTTTATAATCATATGCAAATGTTATTTTTAGTTGTTATTATGTAATCTAAATTACCATATTTATTTCACTTCGATCTAAATACATCTACACTATCAATTAAATTTTACGATAAATTCCTAAATGTTGCCTAATAAAAAAATAACAGAAACTCCGATTTAATTGTCGTCCGATGGAACAACAAAATCTATCGTAAAATAAGGCGATTTTGTAATACGTACGAGTACCGTAACCAGAGGTTGAACATGTTAATATTATAAAATCATCATCGTCCATATTTCAAAGAGGTTCTGAGAGATATTTTAGTTAAAAATTTGTAATCTTTAATTGGTTGTAAATATTGATATCATTTTCTGATCACCTGTAAGTACCGTTATCACTGAAAAAAAAGTTACCTGTCCTGTTACACTCGCATTTAGTTTAAAAGTATAGTTCTCCAGTTAATTTGTCAGAATTATGCATTTCTTACTTGTGTTTTAAATTAACATGGAGTCAGTACCATGGGAAATAGAAAATGCAACCTATATAGTAATAGTTGAAATATTTTAATGATTTTTTGCTAAACAATTGGACTTATTGCTAGAAAGAGTGTCTACCACGAAATGAATAGGGGTGCTTCTGGGAGGCAAGCCTGACATGGCCGATGTCGATGACATTGTATTCCAAGCTATCTAAATATTGTCTCGTTGAGTGCTGTGGATCAATAGCTATCATGCTCCATACAAGTTCAATTGGCGAAAGGTCGGGAGACTTTGCAGGCCATGAAAGAACGTTCATATTAGCACCTTGTAGCAACCAATTGGTTATGACAGCAGTATGGAGTCTGGCACTATCCTGGAGACAGACTTTCCAACCTCTGAAGATATAGTAACATAAGCGAATTGCGAATGTACTCTTGTGTATTCATGTTTCTTTCTAGGAAGACTAGAGGGAACCTGCTACTATATTCTACTGGAAACTCCTCTGGTAAATACTGTCTTACATGCCACACTAGACTAAATATCAGACCATTATCCATGTCGACGGCGTATTCTTCTATGCTCATCGTGAACCCATGAACAGAGTCGAATTTCATCACTGAACACTATACAATTCCATCCAGAGCAAGCTAGTTTAACTCGGGTTGAATATTAAGGATTTTTTTGAATACCAAAAAATATCAAAAAAAAACATTCAGAACTAAAATGATATCACTTCTGAGACCAATTATTTAACATTGGTTGTGGTTTCGTGGTCAAGCAGTAAGGATACTTGTCTCACACCCAGGAGTTCTGAGTTCAATGCGTGGTCGAGGAGCTAGTATTTTTTCACAATAGAAATAAATCCTAGTATACTCGGATATTGGGTGTGTGTCCATTGTCTCTAAATGTGTAGCTCTCTCTCACATAAGTTATCTTGAGGTACCTTCAGGTATACAAAGAGTTGTATTATCTGTGATGTTTCACTTAAATTCTGTATGTACTATAAAGCGTTGCAATTGCGGTGTCACACAGTATGTCAGTGAGACACTTTCAAAAAATATTTTTTTCAGTCTTAGTTAGCTGATGATGATAACAAAAATTTTACAAACGCTGACGTTTAAAAAAAACTAATATTCTCTACTATCATTTTGTAGATTGAGGAGGAAGGACTATGCAAAACTTCTACTTAGGTATTCATTAGTTCCACATATAGCACTTTACTCAATCAGATTTTTTTCTCTGAATGAACAACGAAACTCCTAAATGTTTCCAATCTTAGAGATACCGTATCATCCGTATTTCCACATAAAAATTAAGTTTGGATGTCCACCTTGCCGACTGTAATCATGATTGACGTTTGTCAAAAATACGTTATTAAAAAGTTGTTCGCAATTGATTTGTACAAATTAGAATTCTGGTACGTTGCAATGAAGCATTCGTTCAGGTACTTATACGAACAGTATAGTTCCAACATTCATAATTATACAAGAAAATCATTATTTTAAATTTATTTTTTAAAATATACCTAATAAGAGTAATAAGTTATTAGCGAGATTCAAGTAATGATGATTATACAAGTAAGTGGTACTTATATCGATGATTAATTAATAATTAGTGAAAATTAATTAGAACTACACAGATTTTAAGGAAGCATAGTTAAACAAGTACCTAATTTTGCTGCCTACATGCTTCCTATTACTGTAAAAATATCAATAATGATATAATTACCTGCTTAATTCCATATAATTATAACGGTTTCATTTTGGCGCCAGTATTAGATACTAAAAATAATGATGCCAATTTGATTTAATTTATTCATTAGCAAATTGAGGTAAACAGACGTCTGTAGATTATTTTCACGAATGTAAAAGTGATCATTAAAAATCGAAGAGCAAAAACTAATCAAAATTTGTGGCGACTACTTGTGTTACAAAAATTTTATGGCGAGTGTGTGGCGGCAGAGATTTATGACGACAAAGAATTCCTAAACAAAAATGCAATAGTAAATATATTTTATGTGTTTTATATTTGTTAAGCACAATACCAAATTGGATATATTGGTAAACATATATTGAATTAATTAAGAACAACTATAATTAAGTCATATATACAACAGAAAGAACCATTAAAAACCAATAACAAAAGAGCCACATAAAATAAGAACCAAGTGTACCTGCAATATAAAAACCAACAACCAACCAACCAACAAACTAATAGTATTATGTATTTGTATTCACAAGGAAAATACAACATAACTTAATTCCTCAACTCATCCGCAGTCCCACCAACACCTTCAAAATGATTTTGCACCAAACCACCTGGCAAAAAGCCATACTGACCGTATAGTAACACGGTCGTAGAGAGTATGACCATTTTTGAAAACAACAGAACGGAAGTGATGAAAGAGGGGGATGAAATTGGCGATTGACGATCTGTGACAATGAAGAAGAATATGATGATGTTATCGAAGAAAATAAAGCAACAATGGCAAGAAGGTGAACCTACAAATTTATAGGTAACAATTTGAGCAATATCGAAAAACTCCATATTTTTGTTGTAAATATTGGAAGATGTGTTTTAATTACAGTGATCCCCGTTTACTTTTTCTCATAATTATAAATAATTACGAGAATAATTATGTTAGCATTGTATTTTTGACACATCAAAATAGGTAAACTACTATAATACAATATTTGATTAATCTTTTACCACATGTTCCTTACATATAACGTCAATCTCAATAAAAAGGGAAATATCTATTTTCAGTTTTTAACTGATACAACTTGTGCTGAATTAAAAATCCGCGCTTCAGCGTACAATTAAGCACAGTTACAGCTTGATTTCTTTTACTTATCCGTACTTCTTAACTCTCCAGTAAATCTATTAAAAAGTCATAGGATTGCAATTTATAGTCGAGTAAATTTCAGATAAATAATAATACCGCTACCTGCCACACATTAGCATCATTCCCAATCCTTTAACTAACTGCTATTATCCTTATTATTTGTTATCCAATTTTAACACCAAACAATACCATATACTAATCCCAATGGTTCGAATTCGACGTGAATTAATGATGATAGATCTACCACAATTTTTTTACGACTCAATATCAATATACACATAGAAATATCCTTTTAGAATCGGCTTTATTAAGAATCAAGCAGTTAATTTTAATGTTTATTTTAATGTACAGTGAACTATGTGATACAATGAAAACTTTGTGTATATGTTTATTAGTATATCATCGTTTATCTGATGATTTGAATTAGCTGATGGATATACTGTTTCATGATTCATTCATTATTGATTGACTTAAAGTTTATTTATGTGTCCTGTAGCCATAATAAGAAAATATAGCAGGTATACAACAAGCCGCTAAAGTAACTTTGTTGCATTTTTATCAAATAACGTATCTAGAAATAATAACAATTATTATGGGTTCCAAGCACGAAACAAATATTTTAGTGTTTACAGTTATACGTTTGCCCAGGAGTTTTTAAGGAGACAAATGTTACGTATTTCATAATTGCGATATGATTGGTGTGTAAGGTTATAACAACCGATCCATTTCCGTACGTCGTCAGTCGGAAATATTATCATTCCAGCTGGGAGAGTAGATACATTTTATTTTCATCGAATCGCTAATATAACTAAAGTGGTGAGTCCTCAGCAAGTATTAATTAAAAAGTAACATACGTAGAATAGCCAAAACTAGACAAATGTCAAGGAAAATCCAACAAAACTTTATGAAATTAATGAATTTTATGGTGGAAATACCGCGCTCCTCAGTGGAATGATTAAAATTTGTATACTACTGTTGAATCACTCAACCGGAATTGG